TCTTTCTTTGCTCCTCCTCAAACAGATGAGTATACTTTTCACTTATTACTGCACCTGTATATAAGTGTGTATTTTATGTATCTTAGATATTGCCAATATTTCACTGTGTTATTCTGCTCATTGTGATCGGTCTCCTCTGTTTGATTGTTTTCCAACAAGTACTGCTTGTCCTTTGGAGTTTCTATTATATTGGTTTTCCTTTTCCCTAGCGACGGTGGCAGCCATCTTGGTTGTGGCAAGTTTTGGAATGGCATTTGCCTCGGCCGCCATAGTGTTCTAACAGTTTTTTCTCATTTAATATTGGACTTTTTGCGCCCTTTAACTTATGTGGCTGGACAGAGAGGTGTTCATGAAGATTTTTATTTTTCAGGGAATAGTGACCACACTTAGCACTCATAGTATATATTTTATAACAGAAACAAAGATAGTGCGTAGGCGCTTCACTGATATATTTATATATATTTTATAGTATATGTCAGTTGCTCGCACCCGTACAGCCAACTCATGCTTGCAGGACTTCTCGCGGGCGGCTCCCTTCCTATGGAATAGCCTGCCTACCACCATCAGACTCTCCCCAAGTCTTAAATCCTTTAAGAAGTGCCTTAAAATACATCTCTTTGGGAACCATGACTAATACATTATTTAATACATTATTTAAGTCTTTGTCCCAAGCAATTTTGCCTGCTTTGTGACCTACATAAGAAATCTGAAATTTCTGGCATCCCAGAGTAACCTGTACCTTACATACCTGTCTCTTGCTCTCTCCTAAAGGGCAGCACTCTACTCTCTCCTCCAGCTCTGCTTCACTCGCACCCTATTTGATTGCTCGTTCCTGTCCTATTGTGTTTTACACCCCACCTCCTATAGACTGTAAGCTCGTTTAAATCCCCCCTCTCATAATATTGTAAAGCACTACGGAATCTGTTGGCGCTATACAAAGGGCGATAATAATAATAATAACTTTTGTGTAAGAAAATAAACCTAATAGGTCATGAATGCAGTGTTCAGAGCTCAAATCACAATAACATAAACAGAGTTAAATGCACTGTGAGCCCTTTGGCACTGCAGATGTTTGCCAGCATATTGGGTGTGAGAGCATCATGGGGGATGTAGTCCACAACATCTGGAGTGCCAAATGTTGCCTATTCCTGAAATGTGGTAAGATAATATCAGTAGAATATACTAGGTATATAACTGCTTAAACACTGAGACTAAAGTACCACTGGGTGGAAAATAGGTAGACCGCAATCATGGAATCATAAGGATACATATTCATCCAAAGAGCAGGAGTAAAATAACCACAACAAAAAATACAGATTAAAAAGTGCCAAAGAAAAATTATTGCTGACAACACTAAGCTCACAGTCCAAAGATTTATTCAGTCAATTACCCTGCTAGGGTATCTGCTCCCGGTTGCAGGCACAGGCCCAGTAATACATCCGTTCTGTCTGCCCCAGGCCTCAACTAAAGGCCACAAGTGTTGCCCAATGCCGAAATCTATAGAACCTGGAGTCTGGAAATGAGGTCTACTCCTCATCATATGACTGCTGCAAGGAAAGGCGGCATGCCCTCACATCATCAAGATTGGTCAATTAACATCATGTGACCACAATTAGGAATGGCGGCGATCAGTTAAAAAGGATATCTGAACCTGGAAGGAGCTACAGTCAACTGAGGAAGCCCTTTTTAAGGAAATGCGTTTTGGCACATCAAGACTGGACCTTAGAGACTGATAATTGCTTATTTTATTTTATTTTGTATCTTTATTGTTTTACTTAGTTATTTTTCAATAAATATCAGTTTTTAGCACTTTAGTCTGTCAGTCATTCTAAGTTTGGTCCAGACTCCAGGTTCTAATTCCAGACAGGGGAGTGTCACCCCTAAAAATTGACACAAAAGTGTTTCCACCTTAGAGCCAAGGCATTACAGGGCTCTATTTATGACGAGAGTCCCCTTTTAATACCTTTCAATACCTGAAACTACTGCAGCACTTTAAGAGATATCCTGCAACTCGTTTGAAGAAGGTGCAGTGCCACCTATATGAGCACCATTGGATTCACATAGAACCTTAATTCTCTGAAAACTGACTTTTTTCCTATTCTTGTTTGCACCTTTTATTGTGTATACGTACCATCTGCGTTTGTATTTCTTTCACATATTCAAGTTTATGCATCTTTATACATTAGGGGTAAGCTACCCCAGCATGCAAATATTTACTGTTTGGCGCTCCACCCATCAATTACAGTATCACATGTGCGGATGGCCGGCTTGGAAATGCTTGGAGAAGAGCATCCACATGTGCGGATGGCCGGCCAAGAAAGACTGAGAAGTAAGCCTCAGGAACATCATTTTATGAGACCAGGACTAACAAGCCACACGCTATGAGCCGGATAGGAGAATGGCCGCAACCCAGTCAAAATTTAACACGCTATAACCTGGGCCCGGATTCTCAGATTGTGTCGCTATTTGGCCAGCATGGGAGAGCTACCCAGGGACATTTAACATGTGAAATAGGTGCACAGAGACCCCAGTCAAGTTCTGGCACCTGGGTCTGAAGCGCTCCAGGGTCCCTGAGAGCAGTTAGGAGGCAAACTTGGCAGATCTTTTCAGTCAGATTACAGGAGCTCTGCTACATTCTGTTCTAACTACAGTATCAAAATTCTGTTGATTAACATATTATAGCACTTTACAATTATAGAAATGGGATATCTGACAACAAGTAATTGACATAAAGAAGATTAACAGAGACCAGAGGTGATGACCCTGCTCAAAACAAGCTTACAATCTATAGTATTAGGATTCGCGGCAGGTGGATGCATTTCATTAAGTGCTTATATATCATTATATATCATATACACTTACTGGTGAGGTGGTCCGACCAGGATTTGAACGTAGGTTACCTTGTTCTAAGGTAGTGATGGCTATAACAAGATATATAATTCTGCATTTGTCTGCAAAGGTAATATATTATGTTTTGTTTCAGCTCCCAATATTTATTAAACTTTCTATCTTATTGGTATCTATCTTATGTGTATATATGCCAATTATCAAGGATAAATTATAAGCTTTTATTAGTTGCAATCTTTCTAAGTATGTTGCAGGAGCATTGAATCTTTATTTTAATCATAATACCTAATAAGTGATAAAATTAATCATACTTTTATTTGTCTGTTGATGATATGCACTCACTTATTGATGTCTCGTGTGTTTAACTTGAGTGTAAGACCCTGAGAATGATAACTTTTAGTCCATAGAGTCAGAAAACTATCTTTGTTATTTTGTTTACAAGCAATTTTTATTTACATAGAAAATCTTTAATATGTCAATTCTGTTGTCTCTGGTAGCCTCCTAAACTTTTAAGAAGGGTAAGCTTGATCATATCACAGAGAATGTTGAAATAAAATAATGAAAGAGCCCATCATCGGGCTGAAATAATGAGGAAGTGAATATGGCAAAAGTCTATGTTAGAAGGGAGTGCGGTCCCTGACACCCGTACAGATGAGTACACAGTGGTAGAATCTTATGATGATTCTGATATGGATTCTACTGTGTTGTGGAGCCCAAGCCAACTTCTCAACCTGAACAAACATGATTGTAATGCCAAGAAAGTCTTTAAAATCGCCTTAAACAAGGTTTTAGACCTTTTAGATCCTCAAATAAAAAAATGCTCTGTGAAGATCAGACTAGGTATATACATTATTGCACAATACTCAGTGTACCCTTCCATACTGTTCTTTGGTTTCACTTTGGATTAGTCATTTTGCAATATTAATAAACAGATTATCCATAAGGGTTTAACCTTTTTTTGAATACTTGGTCAGGCTCCATTTAATGTCCAAAGACTTCAGACAAGTTGTCTCCATATTAATATTATTCTGTGATCCTTTCAAACCTGTTTCATCAACCACTTTACTGCAATGGATACAGTGGTTAATGGAGTGAGCACAAGCAAATATTTCCATAAATAGAGATTATTTTTTTCGGTGGAACTATTGTATCGAAAGCTTTCATTTTCAATGTTGACTTAATGAAGACATCACAGGATTGGCGTATTGGTCCAGAGAATCCACCCTTAACCCCTTAAAGACACATGATGGAAATATTCCGTCATGATTCCCTTTCATTCCAGAAGTTGTGTCCTTAAAGTATTTTTATATTAACTGAAATACCATCTGCCTTTCTGGTTAAAAACAAGCTTTAAACTCACATAATATGAGCCTCTCTCTGTGTCTTGTCAGGACGGAAAATCATTTTATTAAAGACACAGACAGGAATATTATCCCTTCTTTTTGTCATAGTAAAGATTTTCCCAACCATTTTCTCTGGTCTCAGTACTATTTGTTCTCACCTGTATCGATTTCATTTGTATTCAAAATCTATCATGCTTGACTGTTGTATTCATAATTTTCACACCATTGCCAATTTTCTCTCTTTTCTTTTCGGTCTGAGTTTTAGGAGACGGATGTTTGTATTCTGCAATGGAGCATATGGAAGAGTACACAACTTATGATGACAATTTCACATGTTTTATGTTCCAGTTCTGATGGACATTTACCCCATTTAAAGATTAACCTCTTAAGTATGGAGAGAATTGTACAAGTTCTGAACCAAAAAAAAAAACCCTTAAATTTGAGCTATAGGTTTTTTTTGTTTTGTTTTTTGTAAATTAAGGGTTTCTCTAAGTATCCCATACATATTATATATTGTTGGTAAAAGGACAAAAATGGCTTTTAAATTTATGCCTAACACAACATTACCTAGGAATAAAATGTGAAAAATGGGGTAAAAATACACCTTTATTAATATTTTTGCTTATAATAATTTTTACACATCCACTACAACTAAATAAAAAGAACTCAAAATAGATTAATATATCAATCCTGATTGTTAAATGCCTATTAATTATGTGTCTGTTAGTTCACTCATTGCACAGCACTATGGAATTTGCTGGCTCTATATAAATAATAAAATAATAATAATAATAATAATAATAATAATGTCTAGAATCTAAATTAAATTTGGTAGTTAACACTAACCCTATACCAACCCCCACTAACTCTTTACCATCGATACCCCTTAACCTCTGCTTAGAGTAACTCTTAATGTATACTAACCCTAATCTTATCCTTAACCTTATCGATACCCCTTAACCTCTGCTTAGAATAACTCTTACCATATACTAACCCTAATCTTATCCTTAACCTTAACTCTATGCTATCCCTAACCCTAAAACAGCATTAAAAAAAAAAAACCCAGCAGTATGGAATGCAGTTCGGAATGCAGTTCGGAATGCCGAACTGAACTGAAAATTTTCCCCATGCACATGCCTAATAATAAATGTACTTTGCAGATACTATAATTTGTCGCCAAAGCCTAATTAGAGTATGATACTTCCTGGAGAAGATCCAAGTGTTAACTATCTCTTCAGAACAAGCAGCTCCAAGATGTGAGAACATGAGTACAAGGAAAAGCAGTTATATGGCACTTTGATAAATAAAGTGAATTAGGGCGGCATTTATAATGATTCATTAAGTATTTTATGTGAATGTGATGAATACTTTTCAAGTTATGAATAATGTGGAAAAATGTTATTTCTCTGCTTGTGCTAATTACATTACCCATTGTGTAAGGTAATTGAATCACAGGCAGAGGGGAGGAATTTGTGTGGAAGTGTCTGAGTGTAGTGTATGTGTTTATTGGATGTGTTCCAAAACCCTGTGGGTGGTACTAATGTGTAAGAATGTGTACATAAGCACAATAAACCCACAGCTCTGACTGACCACTGCTTGACCCACAACACGGAGCCTTGTCTCGTCTTTGGGGGGATTTACTGAATGCTGATAGAGACTGATTGCTAGGAGTGTAAGCCGCTTGGATGCTTTTCCTATTCGTCTGCTAGCAGCTATTCGTATGGTTCCAGTTCGTGAGTTTGGAGTGTTATATTGTGTGCTGTTCGGGAGTTTGGAGCATTCACTTATTGGCGGTTCGTGAGTTTGGTGTACTACAGTAGCTGTGCCTGAATCTCTGGAAGGGGAAGATCTACTAAACGGCGGTTTAACCCCTTTTATGCCTGGGCGTGCCGTTACAAGGGTGACCTTCTAGACCAGGAAACTGTCAAAACTGTCTTGGTGCAGGATAAAGGTGACTTTACTAAAAACAAGTAGTAACTTACATATATAATTTCCACAAATAATTCACATGGAAAATGTAAACATTCCAAAATGTTATAGTGCATTTGTAGTACTAGTAATAACCAGTATAGCATGCAAAGCAAACTGTAAAACAGGCCAAGCGGTTTAAATATATATCAATAAAGTCAACAAAAGAATTTCACAATGGGCACTGACAACACAGTATTTTTTAATCATTAACTCTGTTAAGTTGCACCTGGCAGTCGTCACAGAAAATGTAGAACAAAAAAACAGAAATGTAACAAAATATCTATTTGTGGCTTTTCGTGGATTAAACTGTATTGAATCTGTAATGGAAATTTAAGAGAAAATGGAACACCACATAAAGAAAATTACCACAAGGTATATGTGTTTTTCAAAGTTTTATTTAATTGTCTAACTTACAGAAATGTGGAAATTTACCTTTAACCCCTTGACTAACTAACTAACACTTTGATTAAAATTATATATTAAAGGGACACTATAGTCACCAAAACAACTTTAGCTTAATGAAGCAGTTTTGGTGTATAGAACATGCCCCTGCAGCCTCACTGCTCAGTCATCTGCCATTTAGGAGTTAAATCCCTTTGTTTATGAAACCAAGTCACACCTCCCTGCATGTGACTTGCACAGCCTTCCATAAACACTTCCTGTAAAGAGTAATCTAAAGTTTATCCTTTCTTATTTATTCTGTTTAATTTAGATTTCCGTATCCCCTGCTATGTTAATAGCTTACTAGACCCTGCAAGAGCCTCCTATATGTGATTAAAGTTCAATTTACAGAGCAGAAGATAAAATTGTTTAAGTTAAATTAAATCTGATTGAAAGTGAAACCAGTTTTTTTTCATACCAGCTGTGTCAATCATAGCCAGGGGAGGTGTGGCTAGGGCTGCATAAACAGAAACAAAGTGATTTAACTCCTAAATGGCAGTGAACTGAGCAGTGAAACCTGAGTGGCATGATCTATACATTTTAAGCTAAAATTGTTTAGATGACTATAGTGTTCCTTTAACATTACAATTATGTAAAGCAAGGGATGCATAGCTAGCATATAACAACATATCATTACACAGCAATATTATGTATAGATTGCTTTTATAAATGAAAATAAATAAATAAAATTATGCAAATTTACACACTTTAGATTTTTCAATTATTCGTTTAGCTGTTATAAAGATTTTTTGGGAAAATTAGAAGTTTTAGACAGTGTGCAGTGTTTATCTTGCAATGTTTTCAGATGAGGTCTGAAATGTTATTATATAAGCAAAAATTTTTTTTTTTTCCACATACAGTAGATGTTACAAATATAGATAAATACAAATTCTCAAATGCTTATAGGACTCTCAAATCATCACTAGCAGCACAGCTTGCTAAAAGTGGCAACATAGTGTAAAAAAGAATGTCTGCATTTGACCATAATGCTCACATACTGTAAATAATAATAATCTAAAATATAGGTATTTAAGACTGCTACAACATTCTTTATCACTCTCTGGGCTGATGATGTAATGCTAACAGTCAGAGCCGCCATCAAGGGGTGACAACCATGTTGGTTGTCATGGGCCCGGCGGTCCTGGGGGGCCCGGACTGCTCTGGCAATCCCGGGCCCCACTTTCCCTCTCTGCACACATAGATAGCAAATATCGCTATCTATGTGGGCAGCCGCGGGCCCCCGGCTCCCTGTTACCGCATAGAGGGCCCAGCATACTGCCTCTACTCTTCTCCTCTCTTCTAATAACTCTCGCGAGACCCGTGGCCTTCTGAGCATTGCCATGGCAACGCTCCGCGCGGTATGCAGGCCGTGGGTCTCGCGAGAGTAATTGGAAGAGCGGAAAAGAGAAGAGTAGATTCAGTGTGCTGGGCCCCCTCTGCGGTAACAGGGAGCCGGGGGCCCCCCATGCCACCAGACCACCAGGGAATGGCATCTCCCCCCTCCCCGGACACAGGTAAGAAGCAGGGAGGGGGAGAAACATTTAATGAAACTATAACGGACCGTTTTGCACACAAGGGGTAAAAACCGTTTAGGCGTTCGTCCCCTTCCAGAGATGCAGGCACAGCTCCTGCGGAACACCAATCCGCCGAACAGGAAACCATACGAATGCTGTAAACAGCCGAATAGGAAAAACCATACGAATAGGTTTACACTCCTAGCAGTCAAACTGGAACAGCATACAGTAAATCCCCCCAAGAACGAGACAAAGCTCTGTGTTGAGGGTCAAGCAGTGAACAGTCAAAGCTGTGGGTTTATTGTGCTTATGTACACATTCTTACACATTAGTACCACCCACAGGGTTTTGGAAGTCAACCAATAAACACATACACTACACTCAGACACTTCCACACAAATTCCTCCCCTCTGCCTGTGATTCAATTACCTTACACAATGGGTAATGTAATTAGCACAAGCAGAGAAATACAATTTTTCCACATTATTCATAACTTGAAAAGTATTCATCACATTCACATAAAATACTTAATGAATCATTATAAATGCCGCCCTGATTCACTTTATTTATCAAAGTGCCATATAACTGCTTTCCTTGTACTCATGTTCTCACATCTTGGAGCTGCTTGTTCTGACGAGATAGTTAACACTTGGAATTTAGCACAAGCAGAGAAATACAATTTTTCCACATTATTCATAACTTGAAAAGTATGCATAACATTCACATTTTCAGAATCAGCATACTCCAAATACAAACATACGTCAAAATCATACAAATTGGTCCAGTGGTTCAAAAGATAGTCCTTTGTGACCACAGGAAGCATGGCTTTTCTGCCCAAAACCAGTTCCACAGAGTCTTCTATCCTGGAGATAATTAGAAGTAATCCAATTATCTCCAAAGACAGAGGCAAAACTCCATTGAACACATGGCAGCAAAAAGACAGTAAAATACAATAAAATACACAAGGTTATATTTATGACATAAAATACAGACATGCAACATGTGAAGAAATGCCCCTTTTATACTGTATATGCACTATTTGTTTATTAATAGCAATGTTTCCCTATGGCATTCGGTAGGTAAAACTACCGAATGCAGACCACCCTGTTACCCCTTTATACAGACTGTACCCCCTTGCTGGCTGGATTACGTTCGGCAGAAGTTTTGCACGAACGGCAGGTCTCGCCACCATTTTGGGACTTCCTCGTGTTCGCGGCCATTTTAGCTCCCGAACAGCGGTGTTTGCCATTGAATGACTGGAAATGAAAACGGACACTCAAACAGGCGAACACCGCTGAAGCCTCCAGACCTTCGGTAAACCCCCTTCCAAACTACCGAACGACCGGGCGTTCGGTAGAAAGACTTACTAACGGATGGGGAATCAAGCGAACCAAGGATGGTAGCTGGATGGCCGGCCGTTCGGGAGGTTTTTCATGCGATCTAAGACCGACTGCAGGGCCAGAATTCATGGAACTGTTTTCGGCTACTTTGCCCGTGCAGTCGGTCAAAACCTCTAAGTCCTAAATCTCCCGAACGGCTGAGTTTTTAATTTGTTGGTCTCCCAGACAATAGCTATCTGGGGACACCAAAATTATGTCTGTACCCCAAGTCCTTGGGGTACATCCAAACTTTGGGGAATTTCTGTTATGTTTTAATTGTGTTTAATGGTTATCTGAGGGGAGGAGATGTACAGTATGTATATTGTTAGGATTGGATGTATAGCTAATTATATGGGAGGCTCCCTTGCATGGGCTGAATTCCATAAAAAGAGCATGTCTGTCATTAAACCTTCAGTTCATCTTTGTACCCTTTTTCTGACTACGTATGCTGTTTGGGAGTTCGTGTGTTTTACTGTGGGAATTATCCAGGAACACTATTGGATTTACAATTGGGAATTCGTCTACCATAACTACCGGACGGAGGGCTATATTCACTGGGCTCTGGCTGTTCGGGAGGAAATTACCGATTAAGGTTTAAATGTACTTGGTTTCCTTACACAACATATGCCCAGATAGCTTAGGTCTGAGCGCACATTATTACTGAATGGCGCTCAGAGCACACACATACAGTTCAATTGCCATGTAGCCAAAGTCTTTCCTATAGTCTTTGATTATACGAATGGGCTCCATGGCATAGCTATCTGGGGTATCACTGCTCAAACAGGGCAAGCACCAAATGACCCGGCTTTCTTG